ACATAGGTATTTTTACTCATAATAAATAAACTGTTAACAGTAAAAAATTCACGCGTTTCTCTGAGAAGAAACACAAATAAAGTGATAATTAATATAATATCTGACGGTACTAGTCGTTGAGGAACAAAATTTGGTGGGCATGCTGAAGACAATTAAAAAAATTTGTTCTAAAGCGATAATTAATATAATGTATGTTAATCGGTCAACTTGACTAGAAGTGGTAGTAGTCATTGTCGAACAAAATTCGTTCAAGTACGCCAAAGAACTCGCTATCGCTTTTTAATGAATAGGGACAAAGCAATTATTATACTTTGTGTTGGGTTCCGGGATATAAAATATATGAAGGCAAAAAATTTAAAAAAATTTAGGATTTCAAAAGTGATAATTAATTTATATATTATTATTCTTATTTTTATATTCAGTTTCATTATTAGTTATTTTATTATTAGTGGATACTTAGTTTTATTTATTATTAGTGGGTAAAGTATGGAACTCGATTATACAGTTGGCCTGAGATTTTTGTCTTGTGTCCCCTGCTTTTCTATCTATAGTAGAATCTATTTTGCTATGATATTCAAGTCATTTACATCATTAGCTTTGAAGTATTCACGCCTGTTATAGATGTCATTCAATGTGTGTATGTCTACACCTTTGCAAAATATATGTTGTGACAACTGAATACGTACGTTGTGATTTCCCAAAATCAAACAGCAGCAGATTGGTTGATCTTGAAGATAGTTTCATTGCTCTACATATCATATGAAATGGAATTATGGAACCAATTTGCTTAAGTCCTTTAAAAGCTTAAAGATCATTTAGTAAAGAATGTAACTAGAAGTCTTATTCCCTTCTAGGCAAAAGAACAGTCTCTAAATTAAAGCAGCCACAGCTTGTTAAGAGACAGAAATTAAGGCAGCCACAGCTTGGTAACGCAGGCCAAGATTTTTAATGTATTAATCTTTTAGTATCTTCAGCTTTGTTTTACCGAAAAAGGATATACCTTTATTGTTACTAATCGGAACATAATTTGTATTGAAATAAAATTAAACCACAATTTGCTCACGTCCATTAAAAGCCTAAAAATCAATTAACACACAATACGATTAGAAGTCTTATCACCTTATAGGCAAATGTACACTTTATAAGTTAAGTTAGTGCCAGCTTGTGGGGTTGGTAGCGCAGGTCAAGATATCTAATCAAATAACCTAGTATTCATCTTAGCGCTGTTTTACCGAGAAAAGACATATATTTGTAACTAATTAAATATTAATTCGTATAATATTAGTACAACTGGGGTTAGCATAATAGACCAGCTGTGTTGCGGTCCATAGTATAACGCACAAAATAATAACAACACGATATATTCTTAAAAATTAAAAAATGTTATTCATTTCTATAATTATGTAGTAATAAACGCGTTCTCATCATTAACAACATAAAGCAAAAATAAATGTTCCGTATGAATCATAAATTTATAGTTACTGCAGTAGCGCCATAAAGAAGGGGATTGGGACGGGGGCAGGGGTCTCTACCAATTTTTGGATGCCAGTCGCAAAAGAGCGCTAAAAGATTCAATGATGAGTATATTCTGTATATTATATTAATATATGTTGTTCAGGGTACTCGAAAAAGGTATAGGGCCCCGAGTGCAAGTTAAGCACACGACGCCACTGAATTGCACATCGCCGATTGTCGTTGTTGCAAATTACCATTTTACACATAATGATGCATGCAAGTGCATCAACTGCTAATTAAGATTAAATCTTTAATTATAGAAAATGCATTTTGTGATCTTGAAATGAACTTTACGATCTTCAAGCGTTAATAAAGTTGTAGTTGTGTTCATTTTACAGTTTTAAAAATAAATTGAATTTGCACGCTCATTATTCAAAAAAAAAAATGCATATTTTATTAAATAATTGACTTTTTGTCATAAATATTACAATATATGTCAAATTATGTGCATATAATTTTATATAATATTTTTACAGTTTTCTATTTTGTATTTGAATTTTTTGTACATTTGAATTGTTCACAATATACCATAATTATTGTTTGAATATAAATCAAAACTCATTTACGAGTATTTGCATTAACAATTTCACTTAATATTTGTTTACGATTATGTAGTTGGAAATGAAACCCACATGTCCGATGAATATTTCGACACAGGAAAGCCCAAATGTCGCTCTTAATCAGACTTAAAAGTCTTATCGAGTAAAGTGTAGGTATGCGCGTTCACACGACTATGTAGGATGATTTACAATTGTTAAGCGATCGCTATAAACTGTATTTTTGACTATTTAAAAATATTATAACTAAATGGTTTTTATTTTATCATTAATTTTTTTGTTTGAGATTTTATTTGAGCAACGAGATTTTTTTAATATTTTTAAAAAGTATTTATTTTTTGTCTTCAATAACCTATTTTCCTCCTAAACATTTGGATCACTGGAAATAAGAATTTAATGTTCAAAAAAAAGTTTTTAAATGGTTGATAATAAAATGTTTATTTACAGAAAAATTAATTTCACGTCTTCAGTAATCTTGATACGAATAAATGAATTAATAGTCTCGTCTTTCACTAATTCTCTTTTGTTCATGTCAAAAAGTACGATTTTTCAAATATATTTGAAAACTTGTTAATTTAAAAAGAATCATCTTTTGAAATAGAAGAAAGAAAGAAAATTTGGGAAAGGATGCCTAAGGCGAAAATATTTATATATTAATTTACAGTTAGTTTCCTAAATCCATGAAATTCGTATCTCTTAAAATAAAATTAGTATCAACCCTTTATAAACACAATTTTCTGTTAAAATTAAGTCCTCGCCATTAAAATAAATTAATAGCTAGATATGTATGTAGCTTCTGCAGTACTATACCTAGGTACCTTCTTTCAAAAAAGTTAGATTATGCATTTCATGCTTTGATTGACACTGCGTCATAGCTGTGGTCTATAACACTATATGGGAAGTATCATTTTAGTAATTTTTTTTGCGTCGATAAAGCTAATGTGTTATCTATAAGCAATCTCATATTTAATGTTAATGAATTTAAGGTTAAATTCATATCTCTTTTTCTTGAGGTGTGTAAATAACTACTATTTTTGAAGTTGTCAATTGTACTAACCTGCTGCATAAGCTTTCAATACTTAGAGGCGATAAGTTGTGGTTAATAAAGCAGAGCTTGGTTTTAAGTCAGTTCATACAGATTCTATTGAACTGTTACCGTTTCGAACACCTATTTTTTTTAATTGAATTTTATTGAATTTTGCTAGGTTAACGAAAAATAAAATATTTTTAAAGACATTTGGAATTTTTTCGCTTTTAACCTGAACTATGGCTCGAATTCGGTCCACAACCAATTTCTATACTATACGCTGCTTGCGAATGAGAAGAAGCACTTTCAGCGCTTTATGAAGAAGGGCTTTCTTGAGCACTTCAATACTTTGATATTTTTAAATGCTGACTCTAGTCTCTATATATTATCGTACATTATCAATTACTTTGCAATTAAAACTTTTTATGTAAATTTTGAGTATTTTAACCACTAAAAAGAATAAAAATAAAATAATATGTTTCTGTTAATAAAACGATTCAAATAACAAGATAAGAACCCTATATTGAAAAACAATAATATTTCGATTTATTGTAATTAGTAAATATGTCGATTTATTATAATACGACAATGTCTGCGAAACGTACAATTAATACGAGTAATGTAACTAATGCAACACGCGAGTTCGAGTAAATTGAGATAAAGTAAATTTACCTAATTTTGGTAAATACCAATATTCGCTGCCATACCGACATAATTTACTATTTCCCTGAATTTACCATCAATGTACTTGAACTCACACACGGCCATACTATCTTACATATATAAATATTAAAAATAAAAATTCGTTGAGAACTGTGTGTAGGGTATCATCATCAGACATTAAAATTATGCCAAATGATATTAGCTTAAATGGTAGAAACTATTTTTGTAACACCAACAAGAAAACCACTTGACACTTTAAGAGTTCGTATGATGGAAGTAGATAAAAAGAAATATAACAATTGCAAGCAACAACTATTAAGCAAAACCAAAACAACAAAACAAAATGTACAAGGATTATTATGTGCTGTGAACACTACCGGACAACCGATGACCAATCAAATTTTAACTATTTGACTATAATCTTGATTACCTTAACAGTAGTAGCAAATATTACAACAACAAAAGCGCATGAAAAAAATGCTAACAAGTATGAAAATAACAACAAAAATTGATATAAGAAAATAGTAAAAAAAGTAAAAAGCCAACAATAACAAAAACAACAAACTCACGCAATAATTCAACACAAACATATGTAAGCAGACTGAAAGGCAGGCAGGCAGGCAGCAGGCAGGCAGGCAAGCAGACACAGAGTTAAGTCATTTCAATTGTGGAAGAGAGTGTTTCTGCTATGATGCGATGCCTAGCAAGTTGACTATGCTGATAGCCTCGATCTGGTCCAATATAAATAAGGAACGTTTATTGTCTCTCGGCTTTAATAGTTTCATGTTCTAAACGCAAAGTGGATGTCAAGTTTATTGTGCGAATGAATGAACAAAATTTTATGCAGTGTACTTAGTGGTTGCATTGGATACAATAAATAAAAATTAAAAATGCTTTTAATCAAATTTGATTAAATAGATTTAATAAATTAAACTATTTTAAAAAAAAGGATTATTATATTATTAAAGTGATTAATTTAAAAATATTATTACATATAAAAATTGTGAAAGTAACATACAATATTTTAAAGAATGATGTAGTAAATATATCGAAATTCTTATTATAATTAAATTGTGAAAAAATTTATTTAAATTATGTTAAATAGAAAGTGTTAAATATAAGTGTTTTTCTTACACTGTAATGTTTTGTCCTAAAAAAGAGGTTAAAAAATATTTAAAAATTCTTAAAATATAACAAAATAAAAAAACCAAACTGTATTAATTTATTTACAAAATCTCGTCTTTAATGTTAAAAGTTTATAAAAACCAAGTTCCTAACATAAATCCTTAATTTAACACATAAAATGCAGTCTCATCAAAGTTCATTTGGTCAAGAAACAGGGAATAAAAATTATGGTCATCGTCGTTTACCTACTGTTGGCAAAGCTATGCCTGTCACATCACTCCTATTAAATTTTCCACCTATTCCACCAAGGCATACGCGTAGCGAACGTTTAACGCCAGAACAGGAGGAACGTCCACCAGTTTTTTTTCCTGTTAATGAAAGAAAATCACTTTCACTTTCACCAACCATCTCAAAGAAATCAAAATCAACTGATTCTGATGACGATATTAATCTAGATCAAGAATATGAGTTATTAGTATCTGATTGTAGCAGCACTACAGATGGTGATGACAATCAAGATCCCAAAGACACTGAAGATACCGTTTCACTAATTGGCAATTCCATTTTCTATAGACCTTGTTTGACGTGCACAAATACTGCACCACCAGACTTAGCTATGCGTCCAAGTGCAATCAATGAAATGTGCCGCAGACTGTGCACTGATGAATGCCGTTTGCGTTTAAGTTTAGCTGGTTTTGAAGATCCAATGATAAAGATAAAAGCAATGCAGTCAAAAGAAGCACTAACTACTTATCTAAACGATACAATGGAATTTGCTAAGAGCGACAATGTTGGTTTGTCAAAATCAATGACACAAATACCACAAGCGCCCACAGGTATAGCCATACAAAGAAAACAATTTCTAACTAAAATTTTGCAACCAAATGCTATTGCCACAGATGCAGATAGTATTTCCTCCTCAGACAGTGAGGCCGAGGAATCAAACACAACCAGTGAACTGTTTAAGATAATTGCTAACCTAGTTACCACGAAAACATCAACTTCAAATTCAAAGTTGCCACTCAGTCCAGAGCACGAAGAAACTACTTCGATTGAGGTTGCATGTGGAAAAGCTAATAATTTAATCGATCCACATGAAATTGTTATGCTCAAGGATTTTAGTGAGAAATTCGAAATTGCGGAAGCGTTGGCAAAAACCTCAGCAATGACCTCGACGTCGCAAATGAAACAACGTCTGGCTGCGCGTAAACTGGAAATTGAGTTGGAGAACACGAACACACCGAAAACAAGTCAGGGAACCGTCAAAATACCCGCGTCAGTGTCAGTAGACAACAAAGCTGTAGACGTGCGTATGGCACAAGGTGTGGTCAACATGTCTACCGCTGACACTATAACCACCAATGCGTTAGCAACAATGGATCCATTAACAGCTTATAGCAGTAATGCAGGCAATGGAGAGAACGTTGCAGACACAGTGGCAACAATAAAACAAACAATGCAAGACGGAAGTGAATATGAGCCGCCGAGGGAAGTACTTATGTTTCTTGTGAGGTTAGTATTATAATAAATTTTTATATATATTTTTTTTTTTGGACAACTGCAAATCAGTTAAACACGTCGGTACACTTAAATTTGTGCGAAACGAGATTTTGCGTAAATTTTTCAAGTAATTTATTGATTCATTTAGCCGATAAACTTGTTGTGTGGCAGTGAGTCGAACTTTCTTCAAAACTGGTTGACTGCAGAATATTGTTCGCATACTTCATTAACACAGATATGAGTACATACTTTTCATATACCGCAAAGATACAACATAAATTTGTTTATTGATTTGTGACCGCATAAAATTCGCTGTAATCAAAGTAAAGTAATTCGGCACAAATCAAATTAATTGAATTCATTTTTCTCTCGCTACATTTTGTGTGTCGTCATATCGGTTTGTGACATAATTAACTAACAAATTGCATATTGTAATTAAGATTCATTCGATAGTTAGGGTTAATTTTACAATGTACATGTAGGAACTGCAAATTAAACTAATTAAAGTAAATGACTTCATCAATTAACAAATTGCATATATGCAATCAAATTTAATTCGATACTTAGAACCTGCTTTAAAATGCACACTTAGGAACCAATTTGATACGGTTGTAATGAACCTCTATGTTTACTGTAAAGTGCAGTAACATATTGGTATTGAAAGCTGTCTAATCCAAATCAATGAGTTTTTTTTTTTTGAAACTTAACTGTTGATTACTATTTAGCTGTTGTTGTTGCCCATGTTTGTTCTCTTAAACCCATTAAGAAAATAAGTGGTAATACGGCTTTATTCTACAAGATCATTCTGTTGTTATAAATATTGTCTCAAACAATTGAGTGTCGTGTGAATGTTTATTTAATCATAATACTTGCATCACGATTAACTTTCATCATGTGAATAAGCAATGTGGGAAGAAGAATAACGAAAAAAAATGTGTGAAACAGTAAGAAAGCGTTTGTATAAGATACTTTAAGAAAGTATCATTTTGTTTATTTATAAATTTGTCAATAAGAAAATTAGGGTATACTTACGGAGCTTAATTTTTAGTACTAATTACATGGATTTGCTTGAAATTTTACCTATGTAGTGCTTTATTTTCTGGCGTGTCTTTCATATAATTTGAGACTTAACCACTTGTGTAGATATAGTTGTTTTCCAACCAACACTATAATGTTTTGCCAATTTCATTATGATGTAGCTTGGTTCAAAACATGATAAATGTGTTTGCTTTAAAATATTTGAATTCCCTAACAAAAGATTCTTATTGTTTTTATCCGAATATTACGCTATCGCATTAAAGTATTATTACTTTTGATCTAAATGCTTATTAGAAGTTTCTGTGTAGTACCTATATACAACTTCCAAACCCAACTATTTAGATTAGTTGGGAAAGCTTAGCTTATCATAAAAGTAAGGAAATCGCAGTTTTGTAAGCTTATCAAAAGTCTCAACAATGCATTACGTTTGACATCATTTTCAGCTACTAACTCTGAAATGCCGGCGAATATACCTTGCTTAACGCAGTGCGTAATGGGACGTTCATTGTTTGAGGTGCAGTAGGTCTATTGTTTTCTTTCTTCTTTACAATATTTACTATTTTTGTGTGTATAAAGGTAGGAAGCACAGAAGTAAATATAACTATATTTTAGGCTTCAAGTGAATTTGCAAAGAATTGTCGCCATTAGACGCCCTACTCTCATAGATCAGTATTTTTTCGTTAATGTTTTTTTTAGAATACGGGAATATTACCCCTGGCTTAGATCAAAGGTGACAATCACAAAATGATTAAAAATCATATCTCTATCTAAGTAGAAACGATATGCTGTCAACTCATAGACTCAGACTCAGAAAAATAATAGAACAGTGTACTATTAGAGTTTGTTCAGCTTCATGTGGTATCTATAATCTAATGATAATGATAGAATAGCTTACTATTAAAGCTTGTCGACTTTCTATAGTGGATATCTATAGATAAACTATAGTTTACATCTACAAAACTATGAAGCTATCTATAGATAAACTATAGTTTATATGTAGATACGTTATATGTATGCAGTATTGCTAACATTTTTAAAATTATGGCAATTTGAAATTTGTTCCAGTTCAATTGGGCTACCCTGTATAATATATATTTGATTACAAAATGTACTAATGAAACATAATAAAAACAATTTCCTTTCGATTTTCTTAAACAATAAAGTTAAACTATTAAATGAAATTTGTTTATAAATTCAAATTTGGTAGGTCTATTCAAGGCATTCAAGCAGTCAATTTAGTTTATATATGAATATTTGAAGTCAATGCATATGAAGTCAATATTTTTATTTTTGTTTGTTTATATTTATATTAGCTTGTATGGTTTTTGTGTTTCACTATGGAAACTATTGTATCGCAAAAATTCCTAGCCTGGGGTGTAAAAACACTAGATCTGCTCTCATTGAATACAAAAAATTATAGTTCATGGCAATTAAAGTTGTTTACATTTGATCATTTTTGCCCGTTGTTAATGTTAAAAATCGTATTGCAATGCCATTTTAAATATTTTTTTTAAATATTTTTACAAAACATTTTTTGAAATTAAAAATTAGTAATTTAATTAATAAGTAGTTTTTATTATTTTTCATTTATTTTTAAAATTAATTTTTTGTTGTATTTATTTATTTTTTTTATTTTCTATTACACAGACTTTATTTTTTATATTTTTGTATATTTTTATTTAAGCTTTATTGATTTGTTTTTGTGATTAAACTAATTTAATTCAATTAGTTAATAATCTTTCTATAATAAAAATCTTACACCTAAAATTTTCCAGATTGCATAGTTATAAAATGACACACTCTTACTGATAAGAGTAAAACAGATAACTTACAATGTTGGGTTATGACAGCTCTTAAATCATGATATTTAAAAAAAAAATGTTAATACTTTGTAATGTGAATGAAAATGTTATCAATTAAGCGATTTGCTAGCCCTTACAGACCTTGAGTTTTTCGAGTAGTTTGCACGAGTTAATTTTTGTTAAAATAGTTTTCGTTTTGTTTTGTACTTCATTGCAATGGTTCTGACAATTATTTCCTGAATATAAATTTTATTAAATAAAAATATTTTTATTTTATTTTAGGAAAAATTGACGAAAAACAAAATATTTGATATTATGATTTTATCAATTTCTATACGAATGTTACTATAGAAACAAAAAAAAAATTGTAAAATTTTATTTTGATATCTTAAAAGTGTGCTGTGATATCTTAGCTAACAAAGCCTTCAACGAATATTTAGTTATAGACTAAATATTGCTTTTTTAAGTGAATTTATTAAATTTTTCTTAAATTTTTCTGAAATTTTGTTAAAATTTTTTAAAGACAAAGTTTTTAAATAATTTTTGAAAATGGAATTCTTACTTAAATCTTCGAGATTGATCGTAACGTCAAGAACGTTTACGCGGCGAGTTGCTGTGCCGATACCAAGGTAAATTATTTTCTTTAATAAAACATATTTTTATTTTGATTTATTATTTTACATATTATTATAATAGAAATTTTACAATAATTAAAAAACAAAACAAAATATATATATTTTTTAAAAATATATATACAGTCAAATTTCCGTAATTCGAGCTTCTATAACTCAAACTAAATAGAGTGCAATAGGGCTTAGAGAGCAAATTATATACGATTACTACAAAATTCTTTGACTCGAAGTGTCCATAAGTCGAACCTTTTTTTAGTATTAAACAGTATTTCAAGTTATGGAAGTTTGACTATATATCAAACAAACAAATAAATATATCAAACAAAAGATATGTGTTTGATAAAACGCCACGAAAGATAATTTCGGATAATGTTAGTCTGGGAAGTACATTTGCTCACTATAAAGCCTTGAGGGATACATTGTATGTAGTATATATATAGTGACTACAATAAGCATGTATAGTATATTAAAGATCTTAAATCATTTATACATATTATAAAAGAGTGTACTGAATTCCAATGTGTCTCCATGATGCAATATATATTAAACTTGTTTGAAAAGGGCTCAGTACAGTACTAATGTGAACAGAATCATACTTTTTTAGTTCTATCTATTTAAATGTAATAATACAATGACATTATGCAATACATATCTTCTTTAAGATACTTGATAATAACATAATTTTGAGCATATCTGCTTGTAGATATTCTTATCATACAATATTTTGAGGGGTTGAACTACAGCTATTTTGATGGTAAGATTGCTACCTTGGTAAATCAGATATCCGAATTAGCGCCATAATAGCTCAAAAATTTCTACCCCAGAAAAATGCTGCGAGATTAGTATTCTGTTATCCACCAGGTGACTAGATTTTAAATATGTAAGCACATGGAACATCACCTGAAGTTTAAGGTTATACTTCAATTTGGGAAGTTGTTTGTGGTACATCATGTTTCTTAGTTTAAAAAAACAAAATTATCTTCATCAAATCTTTGTGCTGACTAAATAAATAAATTCTAACATAATTATTTGTTAATTTTGTAACCTTTCTGCTAGAGTAATGAAACAAAGACAACGCCACGCTTGTATATTTTTTGGCGCAATATAACGTTAATTATAGTAAACTTATGGAGTAATGTGACTAGTATATACTCTTCTATATATATTTTTCGTAATTAATTTTATTATTATTGAAATTTAACAAAAATATAAATACCATTAAGTGTAAGAATAATACATGTTAAGAATAATTCAATTATTCCACAATTGGTTTATAAGTTCGTCTTAACATACTACAGCAAATGAATTTATTAATGAACATTTACAACAAATTAACAAGTTCGAACATACAAGTCATATACAGTTTTGGTTAATTTGGTTAATGCACACTGACTCTGAGTTTCAAATTTTACAGGGTACGAGTTCAACTCTTGGTAACATATTCGCAGTTTCAAAAAATTATTTACGAGTAATTAAATATAAAAAAAATGATTTTCAATTTTTTGACAGCTTTTAAAAAAGTCAGTGCTGATTTCTCTGC